TGCTGCAGCCTAGACCAGAGCTGCAGCCTCTCCCTGCCTTATATTCTGTCTCCACCTCCCAAGTGCTGGGATTAAAGGTGGGGGCCTCCCAAGTGCTGGGATTAAAGTTTGAGCCTCCCAAGTGCTGGTTTGTGCCAACACTGTCTGACCTCTGTGGTTAACTAGTGACTAGCTCAACCCTCTGATCTCCAGGCAAGCTTTATTTGTCAGGACACAAAATACCATATAACAAGTATAGGAAAGGCAAAGGCTCACAGGACCCACCCTTGACTTCTCAAATGTTTTTGGATGGATTGTAGCAGAAGAATCATTGCCTTTAGCTGCAGTCCTCTGCTGAGTCCAGCCGGCTCCAACACATAGGTCCAAGTCCACCGTCTCACAGATGACACTGATTAATGTCAGTGGGTCCCAAGCAAAATTAATGGAGAGCAACACCACAGATGTGTCCATGCTACGACTAAGTCCCAGTATCGGGCGAAAGCCTGGGGATTTAGTTAAAAACAGAGACGTCCGGCTGTTTGTGCTGTGTGCATCTTTCCATCTTTGCCATTTTCCAGGGAGAGAGCAGCCTTATATACACTTACAGCACAGTGGAAAAACCCAGGTGCAAGAGCTCGTGGAGAAACCCCAGGTGTAGTGGGGCAAGGTGGGGGCTGTAGACTAGAACTAGAACACAGGACTAGAACACAGGATGCACCTGTGGTTATTGGCTGACAAGCAATTCACAGAGACCCTGTGGGGGCTGGGACCCAAAGATTGTTGGACTTGTAGACCAGGATAATAGAGAAGTATGAGGTAAGAGTGGACAGCGTTTGAGGTGCCCACACACAAACATATATGTGTGTTTATGTATACTCTTACTTATATGTATGTGAGTGTGAAATAGTTAATAGATTTTTTTTTTTTTTATTTCTCTGTATAGCCCTTGGTATCCTGGAACCAGCTTTGTAGAGCAAACTATCTTTGCAATCTCAGAGATCCATCTGCCTCAGGAGTGCTGGGATTAAATGTATGCCCCACCCTGCCCTGCTCACAAAAAAAATTTAAATGACTATTATCAGTCTGTAATTTCCTTCTGGTTATAGCATTATCTGTGGTTTTTGTGTTTTGTTTTTTTGAAACACGTTTTCTCTGTGTAACCCTGGTTGTCCTGGAACTTCCTTAGCAGACCAGGCTGGCTTCAAATTCACTGAGATCCACCTATCTCTGCCTCTAGAATGCATTGTGATTCACCATGCCTGGCTCATTATCTGGTTTAATATCAGGTAATACTAAGCATCAGGAAAATTGCTTTTTCATGTCAAGAAGTACTCTAAGTAGCTTTGCTGTTCGGTTTTTTTTTTTTTTTTTTGGAGGTCTAAGGAATACTGTCAATCTGGTCTGACATTTTCTTTCTTTTTTTCTTTTTTAAGATTCTATTTATTATGTATAAAGTGTTCTGCAGGCCAGAGGAGAGAACCAGATCTCATTACGGTTGGTTGTGAGCCACCATGTGGTTGCTGGGAATTGAACTCAGGAGCTATGGAAAGGCAGCCAGTGCTCTTAACCACTGAACCTTATCTCTATCGACCAAAGTCATGGGATAGCTGCCTATTTCCCTTCAGCAAGCAATCATTGTTTTCCACAAAGTCAAGGTACTTCTAGAAAACAGCTGTTCATTCTATTATCTATCCCATACAGCGATTCTGCTAAATTCCTGCAACAAAGGCAGGCACCACCATTCAGAGCTCTTGGGGACTTCAAAACCAGCTGTGTCATTTCTGATGTCATATGCACAGCTTCTCTCTCTATAGTTCCTCACCTTCAGCTATTTGTAAGATTTGACACTAGGATGAACAAAAGTGAGAGTTTATTAGAGCATTTTCTTTTATGGGTAGAGGATTTTACAAATTCAATGCATTTGGTGACTGTATTTTCCACTGAATAGGGATTATATATGGTATACCTCTTTCGGTTTCTTAGAGCTATGAATTTTGTGATGTACAGCACATTTAGAAGGAAAACTAAAGGCTTTGTCACTTTTTTTTATTTTTTGGTTTTTCGAGACAGGGTTTCTCTGTGGCTTTGGAAGCTGTCCTGGAACTAGCTCTTGTAGACCAGGCTGGTCTCGACCTCACAGAGAGCTTCCTGAGTGCTGGGATTAAAGGTGTGTGTCACCACCAACTGGCATAGGCTTTGTCGAATTTTTATGTTAGCAATTCTGTTATTATATTATTATTATTATTATTGAGACAGGATCTATGTAGTTCTGGCAGTCCCGGAACTCACTGTGTAGACTAGGATGGCTTCAGACTCAGACATTTCCATTCCTTTGCCTCCTGAGTTCTGGGATTGAAGACATGTACCACCATACCTGGTATTATTATCACTTCCTGGATGTTGAATGATGGGGGAAGTACTTCTGTGTATGTTTATCGTATTGATTGTTGAATAAAGTACTGTTTGGCCAATGAGGCAGCAAGTTAGGCAGGACTAGGAGTCAAAGAGGATTCTGGGAAATGTAGTAGAGAAGTGGTGATCCAGGCAAAAAGTGACATAGCAAGGAGACTCATATTTAAGCAAAGAGAAACAGGAATTGACCCCCTTCCTCCCCCGGCACAATGTGATCCACCGGCAAGGAGGGACACCAATGGAAGGTGTCCGATAAGTCTTATAAAATATATAGATTTATGATAATTAAGACTGAGCTAACATATGAGAATCCTAGTCATTGGCCAAGCAGCATTTGTACCTAATATAAGTCTGTGTATTATTCTGTCCATCCATACAGCTGGCAGAACTCGGGCGGCTGGCGGAGATTGCCCACGTGGCAGTAGTACTCGGGCGGCTTTTGGAGGAAAGATTTATCGTAACAGTTGAAGAAGGTAAATGTTTTATTTTTCATTTTTTTATTACAGCTATTCCCAGGGCTGGAGAAATGGTTTGGAGCCCTGGTTCCTCTTCCAGAACACTGTGTTCAATTTTCAACACATACACACAATAGCTCACACTGTTTTTAAGTAAATCGTCAGGGAATCTGGTGCCCTCTTCTGGCCTCCACAGGCATCAGACAAACATATAGTAACAGAAAGTCTTGTAGACAAAGCACCCACAAACATTAAAAATAATTCAGTTGCTATTGCAGAATTTTATTTGAATATAAACTGTGATATTTTATAAGATTTAAAACTTCATTGAAGACTTTCACAAATTTCTTGTCTTTGCTTCTATAATAATCTTGGGATTGATAAGAATACCATATAAACACTATGTTGCATGATTTACAACAGTATTTTCCTCTCCAGTATGAACTCTCTGATGTCTTCTAAGGTTTGAAAGGTGGATATAAGATACGCCACAGTCTTTGCATTTGTGGAGTGTCTCTCCAGTATGACTTTTCTGATGTGCTCTAAGATAGGAGCAGCTAGTGAAAGATTTGTCACATTCCTTACACCTGTAATGTCTCTCTCCAGTGTGAACACTCTGATGTGTTCTGAGATTTGACATGTAGTTAAAGGATTTGTCACATTCTAGACATTTGAAAGGTTTCTCTCCAGTATGAAGTTTCTGATGTGTTCTAAGATCTGAAATCTGATTAAAGGTTAGGTCACAGTCTTTGCATTTGTAAGGGTTTTCTCCAGTATGAATTTTCTGATGTATTTTAAGACTAAAAATCCGTAGAAAGGACATGTCACAGTCTTTGCATTTGTAGAGTTTCTCTCCAGTATGAATTTTCTGATGTGCTCTAAGATATGAGCATGTGGTAAAGGACTTGTCACATTCCTGACAGCTGTAAGGTCTCTCTCCAGTGTGAACTTTCTGATGTGTTCTGAGATGTGAGTTATGGGTAAAGAATTTGTCACATTCCATACATTTGTAAAGTTTCTCTCCAGTATGAATTTTCTGATGTTCTCTAAGAGTTGAGCGTGTGGTTAAATATTTGCCACATTCCTTACACCTGTAAGGTTTCTCTCGAGTGTGGACTCTCTGATGCGTTCTAAGATTTGAACGCTGAATAAAGGACATGTCACACTGTCCACATTTGTAAGGTTTCTCTCCAGTATGAATTTTCTGATGTTCTCTAAGATAGGTGCATGTAGTAAAAGATTTGCCACATTCTTTACAGCTGTAAGGTCTCTCTCCAGTATGAACACTCTGATGTCTTCTAAGATGTGAGTCCCGGGTAAAGGACTTGTCACATTCCGTACATTTGTAAGATTTCTCTCCAGTATGAATTTTCTGATGTGTTCTAAGAGTTGAGTTCACAGTAAAGGATTTGTCACACACCTCACATTTGTAAGGCTTCTCTCCAGTGTGGATTCTGTAATGCCTGTTAAGATGTGATAATTCAAGGAAGGACTTACCACATTCTTCACATTTGTAAAATGTCTCTAAAGAGTGAGTTTTCTGATGCCACCTAAGTGATGAATAGTGGGGAAAGGCTCTGTCACACTCATTGCACTTGTAAGGCTTCTCTCCACTGTGGAGTCTGTAATGGCTCTTAAGATGTGACAGCTGATGGAAGACCTTGCCACATTCTTGACAACTGCAATTTTCCTCATCGCTATGGATTTTCTGATGTCTCCTGAAACTGGAGCAGTGGGCAAAGGACTTGTCGCATTCCTTACATTTGTAAGGCTTCTCTCCAGTATGTGTTTTTTGATGGCTTTTAAGAGCTGAGGACTGAGGAAATGACTTTCCACATTCTTTGCATTTGTAAAGTTTCTCCCCAGTGTGAAGCCTTTGATGTGTTTTAAGATTTGCCCACTGGTTATAGGATTTGTCACAATCGTTGCACTTGTAGGGTTTCTTTCCAATATGGATTCTCTGATGGACAGTGAGGCTTAAGGCAGTCCTGAAGCATTTCCCACATTTCCCACACTGGTGTGGTGCCTCTCCAATGTAGACTGGTTGTTGCAAAAGACTGTATGCAGATCTGAAATAGTCATCAAATTCTCCCTGCCTGTGTTCATTCTTTGCAATGTAGAGTCTTTGATCTTGAGTAATGTTGGAACACAAATTTTCAGATCTTTCAAAGTCTTTAGAATTGCAAGGTTCAACTTGAGTGTGCATGCTTTCATGTCTGTCTGGGTTTGGTGAGTCAACAGAGGCATCCCTGTGATTACTGCATGTGTAGTGATTGGAGTTTTCTGTAGTTTCACTTGTTCTATAAAGTGCACATGTGGAGGGGTCATGAAGCACTTTGCCAACCTCATTACACTGACAAGACTCCTTTTCAGTCTTCACATGGTAATGGACAGGATCACATACATAATAGTTCTCTGGAAAATGAGTACAATTCAGATTAATAGGGCTTGTTTCAACAATAAACATTTGATAAATGACTGTCTCGCTAAGTTCTTTCTTAAGAGAAGTCAACCAGCAACTACTTAGGCATTTTTCTTTTGCTGTAATTGAATATATTCTCACAAAAACAGCCTGACATTCTGCTACCAACATCGTGAAAAAAGAAAACCAAAACAAACAAACAAAAAAGAAAACAACAAAAAAAACCAAAACCAAAAACCAAAACCAACCAAGCAACAATAAAAACAGGAACAACAACAACAAAAAAAAACTAGCTTGACAGGCTTCAAGGTTTGGAGATAATAATCGATATTCTCATAAAAAATATCTAAAGGCATGAAGTGGATCAAGAAATTGAGGTATCAGTAATTTGGATGGAGCTCACCAATTGATTATATTTAGGGTACGTGTCCATACTTTTAAATATTTCTTCTTAGAAACTGATGAAGAAGAGTTTAAACCAATCTTAGGTTCACAGTGTACTTGCTACGTGAAATGCAATGAGAAACACAGTTCAGAAGACCCAATTCCTTTAAAGATTAAAGACTCACTTAAAACCATCACAGGGGTTATTTTAGTTCTTTTTTTCCCTAAAACAGGGCATTAGTTCTTGAAAAGTAATGGATGCAAAGACAGTATAATGCCAGACATCAGAGGCTCCAGCTGGATTGAGGCAGGGCTGTCACGGGCAGCTTTTTCTTATTTCTATCCTCCACTGTCTGAGCTCCACACACTGCTGTGTTCTTAACTTTCCTCATAGGGTTGTTCTCAGGTCCACTCTGTACACTGACTCCTGAGACTATTTCCCACAAGGGTGCCTGTGTGTTCTCCACTGGGAAGAAAATGAAGGGTGTAATATGAAGACACACATGCAAGGAAGGCAATTAAAGAGTAATCCTACTTCGTGGACTCATGTTAGATTTAAAATTTTGTAAAATTATTTCAATCTGGTGTCAGCATTATCAAATAAAATTGCACTTTGTACTAGTATTGTCACCATAATTCAGGTGCAACAGACACAATGCCTTATAAGAGTTACAGCAGACAGGATGCATCCTGGGACAAGGATACTGTAGTAATTTAAATGATCAGGAATCCTTTCAAGTGAAATTGAATATCACAAAACCATTGTCAGCTCTGGCTTTCTCTTTCACTTGAAGCCATCACCGTTCTGTTGCTCATTTACTAGCCCATACTGGTTGTGGCTACTCTCTCCTCTCCACATATCAGGGCAGTCTTATTCTTTCTAGACAGGTGGCCAGTCCTATGTTGCATACCATAATCTACATGTTATGTGATGTAGCCCATGACACATGCTAGTAATTTTTAGAAAAAATACAGGCTTCTAACACAGTACTGGGCTCAGTACATGAAGAGAACACATAGGAGAGATGGATCTAGGAATAATTTCCAATTGCTATGTCATTCTGAATCTTCAGCATATTCAGGGACAATGTTCAGTTTTCATTCCTCGAGCTTTTCTCACAATTAAAACCATGTCTGCTACAACTACGGACACGAAGCTTTAAGATATGAGCATCAATGTTATACCATACTAAGTTTCTGAATGCATTGTGGAACCAAAAGGAGGGGTGCATGATACCTCTAACATGGAAAATGGAAGAAAAAATTAAATAGCATGAAAAAGTTCTTTTTTCCTACTATCAAACATTCCCTAGTCTGCATTGTTTCCAAGACAGCTTACCAGAGAATCTGCAACTTGTAATGCCAGTCCAGTACATATAAAAGATGAGTTACAAATTCTAGAAGCAAAATGCTCTCACCCACAGAGACCAGGTTGCTGTAATTCTCCAACATCACATCAATGTACAAAGCCCTCTGAGCAGAGTCCAGGCATTCCCACTCCTCCTGGGGGAAGTCCACAGTCACATCCCTGAATGTCAACACACCCTAAAATGAGAAAGTACAGTTTGACCACGTGATCCCAGGAACAGTGCTTTCCTTGACATAAGGAGACTTGAGGAAATTAGGAATGTAGATGAGGGAAGGTAAATCTTCAAAAAGATGATTTCTAATATAGCCACATTCTATAATGAATGTTCCAACTCTGTAAAAACAGGATGACAGAGTATCTCACAAGGAAACCCAAGCAACAAGACACACATTTAAGGTCTGGACGCAGTTAACTATCTGTTTTGGATCCTGTGTTATGTTGCAGAGGATCATAGTGTACAAGTCTCAGAAGGGAAATTTGGGAGGAAGAAGTATGTTTTAAATGCTGGACCTGTAGACTGTGCTAAAATACTGACACGAGTCAAATGGGCATGTATGGAAGGCAGAATTTATGATTGACTTTATAGGCAAAAAATACTGTTTTTTTTTCCCCACAATAACAAAAAGTGTAACAACACTGCCTACTGTCAATTTTAACATCAACGTATGAGATCAAGTCATCTATGGAATTACTTTTATAAGAATATTTGAGCCCCTAGAAAGCAGATAGAAAAATCCACACCAGACACATTTGATATCATCTAAAATTTTCTTTAGAAATAAGAATCAGGCAACTTAGACAATAATTTCAGAAGATTTGAAGAATATTTCACTCCAAAAGAGTTATAAAAATTAAGGAACCTTTAAAAACACATCAAACAATGTTTAAGTTGCAGCTCAGCATGTACTCATGTAGTAACCGTGGATCCATTCCAAAGTGACATTGATTTCCTGTTGGTAAATGAACACATTAAATTCTGTGAGAATTATCGTCACTTTTCAGTGCTTTGCAAATGTAATATAGCTCAGAAGAATGGCTGAGGAGAAAATCTGAGCTGGTGTGTCTGAATTTTATAGCTGTCAATGTGTTCCTTTTTTAGAACTTATGCTGTACTGTCTAACAGATTTTAGGTTAGTAGTGTTCCTGATTCTTCTTGTATTGCTTTGGGAATGGAAAGTGGTGACATACTCTGTCTGAGTCAGGAACAGAAATGCAAACCTGCGGATCAGAGCCCATTCCCCAGGTCTCTACTTTAACACACTGCAGCTTCAAGGTGGGGCCTGCAGCTACTCCTCTCACAGGAACTGACTAGAGCGAAGCAATCATGATCAAATGTGTCAAGTGTCGTGGCTTCTGCACATTAATCAGTCAACAACCTAAGACATGATTCCTGATGCATGCCACATAATGAGTCCCGGCCAGAAAGGGCTGCACACTGGTATCCTGTTTGGGGCTAAAGGAAAAAGAGTAATAAAAATACTGATCTCAGGCTAGGTGTGGTGGCGCACGCCTTTAATACCATCACTTGGGAGGCAGAGGCAGAGGCAGGTGGTCCTCTGTGAGTCTGAGGCCAGCATGGTCTACAGTGCTATTTTCAGGAGCAGCCAGAGCTACACAAAGAAGCCCTGTCTTGAAGAACAAATTGAAAAAAAAAAACCAAAAAACACTGATCTCTGTGGTTTGAGAAGTTACCACTGAGCCGTCTAACCAAGTGAGCGATGTGAGCAGCGATTCTCCTGAGAGAAACAGACGGCAGGTGTGACAACAAACACATGGCCACATCAGCACTGCTGTGACATTAAACACCAACTGAAATACAAGTAGACTGCAATCTGAATCTACACTCAAGAACATCAGTTTCGTGGCAAGATCAATCCATGCTCTGCACTGCCTAGTGTGCTTAAATTTTTAATAGTTGGAACCAAGTACTATTAAGCACTAAAACCCAAGATATGTCTCTTTTAACTCCACATATTGCTGAGACGCTGTGACAACTATTCCATGTGTTTCAATATGCGCTTTTTATAACCATGACTCAACAAAATGTGACAGACACCACAAATGGAGCCTACGTGACCCAGGAGCCCTCGCCCACTAATGTATAAAGATACAGTTCATACGCACAGCATTTGTGCTTCAACACATTTTTTTTGTTCATGTGTTAAAATTGGGAATATTTTCAAAATTACAGGTTAATGAGTTCATGTGAGATATTTGCCCTTGGGAAAAAGTAATTAATATTCATAGGTGTGGATTTATGGAATTATAGCTGTAGTCATAAGACAGCCTGGTTTGGTCATAAAAACTGACTGCAGAATAACAGGATAGGTCAGAGAATACCATAAAGCTATGCAGAAAGCTTTGACAGTGTAGGCAAAAAGATACATTATAAAAACACGGCCTTTTCCATGTCTGGATCCATGATTCTGCTGTAGCTGAGGTCTGTGTTGATGTCCATGGCCCATGTTACTACAGGGGTCCATCAAACAAAGCCTGTGGAAGTCCAAGGGCTGTGCTGAGCCAGCAATGCCCTTCACCGGCTCTGCTCCTCACAGGCTGTGGGAAGGCCAGAGGACCCTGGCCCTGTCACTCATAGTAGAGCCCAACCCCTAACTCATAATAGAGAAAGCTGGCCCTACCCATTACCTGAGATGGGTGGTCCCAGAAGCCTGGACTGAGAACTCAGCTACCTCCCAGGCACACATCCAGTGCTTTGAGTTGGCACACCCCAGCATCCATCCTATCTGTGACCTGCTGGATGGGTGAAGGGACTGGTTGGTGGAACCATAGCCTCAGGATCACCCTGATATGGGACAACATTTCAGTGATGGGTCGAGTACTCAGGTTGTACCAGAAACCAGAGGCCTTGAATCTGACCAACAACCCAGTACAGAATGAACATTTGCATGTAAAACTGTTTGGACCAAAGGGTCTACTGAGTGACCCAGCACAGCTGCTAATGCCACAAGACAAATAAAGAGATGATGGAGAGTCGGGAAAGATGGAAGAGCAAAGCATTCTTATCTTTTGTTGCTTGTTTTTCTTCTTTACTATTATATACACTTTACTTTTCTATTTTCATTACTTTTTAAATTTTCCTTTGGGGGTGACATTACAAGGGTGAAAGGCAGATACAGAGGGACTGGGGTGCATGATGGGAAATTCACAATGGATCAGTAAAAACTTATTTTCAAAAAGAAATATATGGCCTTTTCAACAAACAGTTCCGGAAAAACTGGATCCAGAAGGTGAAGGAAATTAGATTCTTATCTTTCATTTACATAAGAATCCATTCGAAATGTATCAAAAACCTATTGAAAACCAGAAACACACAGAAACCTAGAAAACACGTGAATTCCCATCAGAATGTTGGAGTAGGCAAGGACTTATTGATTAGAAAGAATAGCAAGAGCACAGCATCCAACCTAAGTACCAACAGATGGGGTGACATGAAAATAGAGCTTCTGTACATCAATGGAGTTTATTGAAAAAAAAAAATTTAAGAGAGAACTAACATGTGACCCAGCAATGCCACTCCTGGGAATGTAACTGGAGAACTCCACATCTCAATACAGAAATATTTACACCCATGTTCAAAGCTATTGTATTACCATAGCAAAGTATTGTATTACCGTATCAAATGGAATACTATTCAGCTGAAGAGACACGTGTAATAAAAATCTGCAGGAAAGATGGATGGACTCAAAGTCCATATTGTGTCATATTGAGTGAGGTCATACAGTGTCAGGAAGAAGAAAACACATTTTCCCTGATGTGGAGATCTAGTCAACAATCTGTGTGCGTGGAAACAGTGTGCATGTGGGCACAGCAGAACATGGAGACAATACATATCAGGGTTTGAGGCAGGCCTGAATGCAGGTAATCAAACCAGTTATGAAAAAGGATATAGAGCTAATTGCCTTTTTAGCTTTAATTCTGTCACAGACCCTTTCTTTTTTTTTGTGGTGGATAAGTTCATAAAAGATATATTTGATAGCCAAAATATAAAATCTCATGCGAGGCTGCAGAGCTTCTGTTCCCAATGACGACTCCAACTGTATAAACGGACATTAAGTTGTAGTCTTTAGGTCTAGTTAATCTTGGTGTGTGATTTTTGTTGTTGTTTGAACATTCTTCATAGTAAAATTTGAAAATCATCAGAAGCAGAAAATGAAAGGCTTGGAATGTCTGGATATATAACATTTCTAGGAAAAGAGTGGACATGACCACTGACCTGGGACATGCTTTCTGGAGAATCAGCCATTTCTCTCTCTCTCTCTTCTTTGAGTTTCTCCTTCAGGAACAAGGAATAGATGGCTTGAGGCCCTTTGATATAGAGGGGGTCAAAGACAAAGTGCAAAAATTAATGCTGAACGCTGTTAGAGAACAATATTAAACCACATGAAAAGGACTCAAGGAAAAGAGTATAAAGAGGTGTCCAAAGGTGTCCCAAATCCAGGAGAACATGGAAAGACATTTAAAGCGTAAGGAGAAAAATCACTACCCATAGTATTATTACATCCAGAAACACACTTAAAATTGGTGGAAACTTAAATGCACTTCAAGACAGTCTCGGGTTACCATGATTGATTTCACTAAAGCAGCTTTGCAGACAATAATTAGAGGGCAAAATTTTTGCAGGAGAATCAGAGGGTTTACCAATGAGAATACGGAAAATAATAAATATCCTACGACTAATAGTAAATCCCAGAGAACTTGGAAGTAATCATCCACGGACAAGACAGCAAATCACTAATTCTCACACAGATGGAAGGAAAATACTGCCAATAATCCAACCAGCAACAACACCAAGAAGAAGAGCATAGTGAATAAAAATGCCAGAACCAGAAATCTAGCCACTCTGGAAATCAACATGGCGTATACTCAATTAAGCAAATAATCCCCCAAGTTAAATAAATCCAGCATATGACCCAGCCATTCCATTCCTTGGCATACACTCAGAGGACTTTGACATCCTACTCCATGGATACTTGCTCAGCTGTGTTCATTGATGCTCTACTCACAGTAGCTACAACATGGAAACAATCTAAACGTCCTTCTGCTGACAAATGGGTAGGGAAAATGTGGTACATATACACTACGGAATAGTATCTGTCTGTAAATTAAATTGAAATCTTGTGCTCTGCAGCTAAATGGATGGACAAAAGAAGATCAAAATAGAGTGAGGTCACCCAGACCCAGAAAGACAGACAATGAATATTCTTTCTCATAGGAAGTTCTGTAGGGGAACCTGTAGCCACGCCTGCTTAGGGGCTGGCTACAGGTCTGCCTGACCACGCGAGGGCAAGGCGTGGTCAGGGTGACATAGAGTGAGAGAAGGGCTGTGTTTCACTTTCGTTTTCCCCTTTCATCTTGGGCTTGGTACAGACCGCTGCCACCCCGGCTGGCTAGGTCACTCTGTAAGTAAGGCTTTTCCCTATTAAATACCCTTATATTTCTACTTGGCTCCGTATTTCCACTTTAAAGTTCCTAGCTCCAAATCTTCAGATGTGAGTCCACAACCTGTCGTGACTGCAGTAACCAGAAAAGTAACAAGACGGCATTGGGAGGTGTTAGGGATTGGCAGAAATGGGGTAACAGGGAACAAGTGATTGCAGGGGGAAATGGAAAGACAGGGGTAAGGATTTAATTATGGATAACAGCTGGATGTAAACACAAAAGAATAGGGTAAAATAATAGTAAGGGTGCCTATAAAGTCATAAGGAATTATACTATTATTCATCCACCAAATCTTGCCTATAGGACATATAAGTCTGTGTAAGCATATACATTTAGAATGTAATGGACAATTTCCCAGCTGAGCTGACAATGCTCCCACAAGAGCCATATTTTCTAACAAAACCACCAATACCGGGCATGAGAAGCCTATTTTGAAACTGCTGGTCACAGCTATCCAAGAGACTTCCAAAACATTAGTGGCTACCGTGGTTGTCCACGTTTCCAGAGATAGAAGGTGAGCCCCTGTTGTTGAAGCAGCCATGTGCTTCAGTCACAGAAGACAGAAGAATAGAGATGGATCAGCATTTAAAGTTTCCTGCCTGAGGACTATCTTTCATGGTACCAGAAGGCAACATGCAGGCTTTCAAAGGAGGGAGCCAACTGACAGTCTTACCCAGCTACGAAACCTATGAACTACAACACTTTTCTGCACTGCACGGTAGCTCTAAGGGTACAGGAGTGGCACCCATAACTAGGTGGTAACCAACAGCTTCTAATTGGACTTAAAACCCTGCCTAGAAGAGGCAAACCATGCCTGCTACTGGAAGCCAAGCCAGTTTCAGTAAGGTTAGCGAAGTAATGGATCTTAGAGAACCTACAACTACTATCAGTCACTCACAGGCCGAGTCAATTCTTCTGTAGGAAGTTGTATCGTGACTACAATAGGATAATCCTGAGATCTTTCTCAGTGGAACTCTCCAGAATAATTTCTAGTGAAACAGAATGTTGCAGAACTGATTTCATGTCGCACTTTCACATTGATTTGAACCCCTTGCCACCCCTTCACCAATCCCTCCACTATACCTGGATCCTAAGCTTCTGTCTCCTCTCTCCTTCCAGGCCCCTCTGCTCTGCTGCACAGGTGAGCAGGTCTGGGTGATCAGTGAGCCCTGCACATGAGAAAGAGATTGTTCAGGAAGCCACTGGATTTCCAACACAGTACTGTGCTCAGTAGATGAAGAGAAAACCAAACCTAGGATTATACAAATGATACCCCGTACCATGTAGTGTCAGAATACTGAAAATACCCACAAAGCATTTTCAGCGAGTGTAACTTGAAGGCCACTTCCAGTCACAGCTCAGTCAAACCTCAGGAGCAGAAATGGAACTGAATGAATGGGATGAGAACATCATACACTAGTGATGCTCTGAATTCATCAGACCCAATCTGATGGAAGCCTCCCACCTCTCAAGGGGACACACACACGCGGCTTAATTTGTGAAGAAACACTGAGCAGGAGCAAGGGAGATGACAAGCAAACTATTTTCACACACAGAAACCATACTGCTGCAATTCTGCAACATCCAGTCTTAGACTAAGCCCTCTGAGCAGGCTCCAGGCATTGCCCCTCCATCTGGGAAAAGTCCACAGTCACACCTCTGGCTGTCAACAGACCACAAAATGAAACCAAACAGTTACAATGGTTGTGTTGGTGCACACCTTTAATGTCAGCCAAGGGGAGACGGAGATGGGTGGAACTATGAGTTCCAGTCTAATCTTGTCAGTTTTGAGCCAGACAATGACAACAGATCTCCAAGACAAGAACCTAAAAGAAAAAAGAAAGCAAATAACAGAACAGAAAAGAAAGAAGAAAGAAAGAAAATAACAGTTTGGTCATGTATCTAGGAAAGAGTGCTTTTCTTTGACTAAAGAGAGAAAAGACTATTGCAGACATTTTTCTGATGTCGATGAGTGACTATAATTATTTAAGAGATGCTTTCTAGTACTATCTTAAACAATAATCCCTTTCCAATTCTTTTTCTGCCCCCCCCCACCCCAACAGCCCATCCAAGCCACAGTTTCTTTGTGTAGCTCCAGCTATCCTTAACCTTACTGGGTTTAACAAGCTGGCATGGAACTCCAAGATCCACCTGCCTCCGCCTCCCAAATGCTGGGATTAAAGGCATGGTCACTACCACCACAAGGCTTTCAATGTTGTTTCTAACTGTGAAAATATTGTGACTTAATAACATAAAAAAAAACATACTGTGCCTTTTCAGGTTCTAAGTTGCATATTAAGAACTCAGCACAAGAAGACACATTTCTTTTTTTTTTTCCCCTTTCTTTTCTTTATTTCTATTTAATTATTTGTTTTTTGAGACAGGGTCTCACCACGAAGCTCTGGCTGTCCTGGAACTCACTATGCAGAGCATGCTGGCTTCCAACTCGCCTCTGCCTCCCCGGTGGTGGGATTAAAGGTGTTTGCCAACAAGCTTGTCAAACACATTTTTCAGAATACTTCTCAGATGAAAAAATAATGGTGGATAAAAAGTTTACACTTAAATGTTAAAGCTTACAACCACGACTATGGAACTTGCAAAAACTATACTTTCCCATTCAATTACATTTGCTGGGTATTTTTT